CCTCCCGGGCAGCAGGAGCGGCTCCAGCCCTCGCTGGGCCCCCCCCCCCACACCGGGTCCTCTCACCTGGAGGCCAGCCCGGGGAACGGCGGCCTCGACGTCCAGCTGCACCCGGCCGAGCTCCCACGGGCTCCGCCCACGCCACCAGCTCGGAGCTGCAGCTGCCAGGGAGCCGGGGTCCGAGACGGGACGGGCGCCCACCACCTCGCGGTGCAAGGTCTGCCCAGCCGGCCTGCCGAGACCACCGGCCTCCGGGGAAGGGCAGAAGGGCAGTCGCGAGGGCGGTGTTCCGATGACGCCCACGGCGGCGGTCACCTCCGCACGGCCCGGCCCTGCCAGGTGTCCCACACAGGCCAGCCTTCCCGACGGCCCCGAGTGAGCGAACGCCACAGAACAGGCCCCTGCAGCCGTGACCCGGCCGCGCTCCTTCCAGAACTCCACTCTGTGGTGAGGGTCCCGGGGCTTCCAGGGCCTGGGGAGGTGGGGGGGGGGCGCTGCAGGCTCAGCGGCTCCGGCACAAACGTCCACGAGCACGTGTTTGCACGCGCAGGCCCGCAGCCACACTCTGCGCAGCGACCCCCAAAGGCAGAGGCTGCCCGTCCGGGCGCGTCCACGGCGATGGGGAAACGGACCGGCCCGTCCACACCGGTCCGCGCCGGGGCGGGGGGGGTCCCCCAGCCTCGGAGAGGAAGGGACACACACACCAGCAGGGACCTGGAGCAGGTCCCACTCGGGGCCAGACGCCAGGCACCCAAGGCCACCCGTCTGTCCCGTGACCCCACTCACACGGACGGACTGCCCGGGGCAGGCAGGGGCGCAGACGCGGAAAACAGACCGCTGGCCGCCCAGGCCGGGGCAGGGGGGAGGGGGGAGGGGCGGGCAGCTGGGCTGCACAGGGGCGAACTCGGTGAATGACAATTAACTCTACACACGGGGACCAACGGTTGGAGGGGTAAGTGTCAGCCCTGGCCGGGTGGCTCGGGGAGTCAGCACGTTGTCCGGGGAGCCGGAAGGCCGCGGGCTCAGTCCCGGGTCGGGGCACCTGCAGGAGGCGACGGAGCGATGCTTCTCTCTCACGCCCTCGCCTCCCTCCCTCCCTCTCCTCCCCCTCCCCTCTCTCTGAAGTCCACGAGCATGCCCTCAGGTGAGGGTTTAAAAGACGGTAAATATTGGGTGATGTCCATTGTATCATAATTTTTTGTTTAATGAAAGTCAAAAAGGGCCGCCCAGGATAAACACCCCCTAACTGGAGTCTCGGGGAGGGCGGGGCCCCGCCTGTGTACGCAGCTTGCTCGTGGCCGAGGGCCTGGGAAAGGCTTTCGGAACCGCGGCAGGGCCCTCCCGGGCAAGGTCACGGCCACCAGCCTGTGCTTCAGAGGGGCTGCCCCCCCCCACCCCGACACCGACCAAGGGCTGGCCGGCCGCAGAGCCCTGGGGCCTCTGGAAGTCCCAGAATTCTTGAGGAGGGGCTCCAGGCCGCCAGGAAAGGACACTTTGTTACGATTCACCTCCAGGTTGCCAGGAAAGGACACTTTGTTACAATGAACTCCTTACCCTTTGATACTGTGTCTTCTCACCTCCCTAGTCTCATTCAGCTCTTTTTGCAAGAGGACAGAAAATTGTCAGGCTTCGATGGAAACAATTAGTGCCTCCCCTCTCGAGGAGAAACAATTTACAATTTGCCGATTAAGACTCACTTAACTGCGGATACAGGCAGAGAGGCAGTTGGGGAGACACGAGCTCCTCACCAGCCCCCTGTGGGGGACCCACGGAGTAAAGAAGACAGGAGAGAAAGATGCCGGAGACGCAGCCCTGATGGCCGCCCTCGAGGGGCCGTTCAGCCGGTCCCCTCTCCAGCTCATGGACAGGGAAACTGAGGTCCTCCAGGTGAGCCGTGAGGCTCAGTGGCCGGAGCCAGGCTGGGCACAGGCTCCGGTTCTGCCACCCCCACCCCGGGCCTCCCCACCAGCTGTGGTGGCTGCCACCACCGGCACCCCGAGTCCCCCTGCCCAGAAACAAACTCTCGGGGAGACAGGAGAGGACAGGGGCGATCGCTTCTGGGGACAAGGCCCCGCCTGCTCGGCCAGTGGCCTCTCGCGGAGGCCTGCCCCGGCTCCGGGACCCGCCACCTCCCGGGGGCCACGCCCGGGGGACTGAGCCCCCCCGATGGAGCCCCAGAGTCTCCTGTGCGGCAGCGACGGCGCCGTGACCAGCGATCGGCGCAGAGCGTCTCCCCGAGGACAGTGACACGGGGGGGAGAGCAAATGCGCACGCCGCCACCGTGGCCTGGGAGAGCCCCCGACCCAAGAGCGGAGCGGCCTCCGGGGCGCCGAGGCCGTCGGCACGCAGCCCGCCGGGCAGCCGGCGCGTGGCGGCGCCGCAGGCCGCGCACGGAGACACGGGGCTCTGGATCGACGCCCCAGGACTGCGGCTCCCGTCCTCCCCGACCCGACTGAGCCCGGGGGGCACGTCCGTCCCTGCAGGGGCTGGGGCAGTCAGGGGCGTGGCGGGTGGCCGCGCCACACAGGTCCCGGGGGGACAGGGTGGCTGATGGGGGGACAGGGTGGCTGGGGTGGGGCGGGCGGGCCCCCGGGTGCACCTGACCCCGGCCCGGGCCGTGCCCATGGCCCCTGGGAGGCGGGCCGGGCCGAAGACCTGCTTGACTGGCGGGAGGAGCCTCGGCCCCGGGGGCGGCAACCGCAGGCCCAGCCCAGGGCCAGCCGGGTCCTGGCTCCGCCCCCCCCCCCGCAGTGTCACACTCGGTCCTGAGCCCTGAAGCTGTCTCCCCCGGCCGGCCTTCACCGGGCTTCCAGAAGCACCAGCACCCGGGCGGAGCGGGGACGCCGTGAGCGGGGGAGTCCGCGGGGCGGCAGGGCCTCCACGCCCGCCCCTGGCCTTCCCACGGCGGCCTCGCCCTGCACCTGCTGACAGCCGCCCCGCTGGGCGGAGGCCGGGCACGGGTCGACCTCGGCCGCCAGCCGGACCCGACTGGACGCCCCACTCCCACCGTCACTGGGGACACGAGGGGACGCGCCTCCTCCGAGGGCCGGGGTTTCCTTCCTTCCTTCCTTCCTGAGGCCCCGGCAGGACGAGGAGGCTTGTGGACGGCAAGAGCGCGGCACACGGCGAGGAGCCTGCCCACGTGAGCGCTGCCGTGGGGCAGAGGTGTCGGGCAGCGGGCGGGCGGGAGGACGGACCGGGTCCCCGCCCTCTGGTGAACAGGCTGCCCGGCCCCTTCGCACTCAATTAATCAACCAGCGGCCCGCCGGCCGCCCCCCACCACCTTGCTGCCGGCCCGGCTCCACCTCCTCGGAAGATCGGAGCCTCCTCGCGAAGCGCTTTAACGAACAATGAGCAGGAGCGTTCAACCCGGCGGTCAGAGGGACTGCTCCGCCCTCGGCTCCAACAGCAGACAGAGCCCCGTGGGCCTCGCCCCGCCCCCCGGGCTGTCCCTTCTGCGGGAAACGGGGGGAACAGGGGCCAGGCGACCCGGCGGGTCCCCGACACGGAGCGGCCAGGCGGTGGACCCCGGGGGGCAGCGGAGGACCCCACTGGGAACAGGACCCCGGCGCAGCGAGGGGCACGGCTCTCCCCCCACCCCCCGGCCCCTCACGGGTTCCAGCTCAGCCCCTGGAGGCCAGGCGTCTCCCCCTCTGGCCCCACCTGCCCAGGGGACGACAGATCGACCCCACGGACGCTGCCTGCCCTCAGGCAGGGACTCCAGCCCCGTGTCAGGGCCGGCGGTGGCGCGGGGGTGGGCAGGGCGAGCCGTCCCATCCTCACGGCCACCGCGGGGCTGGGCTCCTGGGCGGCGAAGATGGAGCTGGGCCTGTGGGCGACTTCGGTCCGCGTCCCCAAAGAGACCGGTGAGACTTCCACTCGCTGAGCCCAGAGGGAACTGGACGCCGGACCTGCGCCTCCTGGTCACCGAGCTGGGAGGACCCGGAGGCTGGAGCCCAGCCCTGTGGCAGCTGGCCCGTCCCACAGCCCCACCCTCCGCAGCGCCGGCCGAAGCGCCAGAGACAGCCAGGCCTGGCTCACGTCCGGTTGTCCAGGGTGTGCCGTCCCCGGACACCAGGGGGGACTCGCTGAGCAGCCCAGGCTCCGGATGGCGGCTCCCTGCAGGGAGCTCGGGTCCCAGCACCCCGCGTCTCCCCCCGCCCAGGTCACACTCAGCGGGACGGCACTGGCCACAGGTGCCTTGGCTAGGCAGACCCCCCCGGGGGCGGGGGGGAGGTCAGTGTGCAGGTGGGCAGCCAGGTGGACGAGGACGGGCAGGAGGGCAGGGCGGTGAGGACCGTACACCCATGATGCCGGCCCCGACCCCCGCGGCCCAGCCCCCAGCCGGGCGTCCGGCACACACGCACAGCTCAGGCCGCTCCCGGGCCCGCAGGGGAGGCCGAGGAACCAGGAGACGGCCGGGAGGACCAGGGGGGCCTGGCGGGGCGCGCACCAGGCGCTCAGCCGGCCACGGCGTGCCCAGCCTGCCTTCCTGCTCCGGGGGCTTCGGAGGGGGCTCCTCACCCGCACTTCACAGGAGGGACTCAGAGACACTGGTCACCAGCGTGACAGCGGAGCGGGGCCCAGACACGGCCTGAGTGCGTGTGCCACGGCGTGCAACGGGTGTCTCCGTGTGCTACAGTGTGGGGCGGCACGTATGCGTGTGTGTGTGGCGGTGCGTGTGTCTGCAACAGTGTGTCTCTGTGTGACCGCGCGACGGTGTGCACTTGTTAGCGTGTGACACAGCGTGTGTTTCTGAGCATGACGGTGCACAAGCATATGTGTGTGAGCGTGTGTCTGTGGGACCGTGTGTGTAAGGGTGCCCCTCTGTGTGTGTGTGCACAGGGTGTGTGTGTATGTGTGTGTGCACAGTCTGTGCCCTGAAGGCCCCGCCCCGAGCACCCCCGCCCGGGGCGCCAGTGTGCACAGAAGCCGGCCCTGGGCCGCGGCGCCCGGGGGACGCGGCCGACCGAGGCCGCAGGACCGGGCCGCCCGCTCACCTTCCCGAAGTCGCGGACGTCAAAGAGGTCAAAGGGGTCGAAGAGCTCGCTGCTGCGCAGCCCGAACTTGTCGTGGCAGACCTTGAGGAAGGTGCGGATGTTCTTCAGGCACAGGAACTGCGGGGAGAGGGGGGGCAGCCGTTACAGCGAGCGCCGTGGGGCCCCGCGGCGGCAGCGGCAGTGCACCGACCGGACGCCCCCGCCCCACCAGGGCCCGCCCGCTCCGCCCCGCTGGCCCGACGTCTCATCGTGGGCGGCCACTCACGGCCCCGTGTCCCCACCCTGTCCAAGGGGACCCAGCACATTCCAACCTGGACGGTCCTGGCCGGAAAAAACGGCGCTGGCCGTGAGTAAGCAAGGAGTGGGTACACATGTGTGCAGACACGTGCACACCCGTGCACGCAGAGACGCATGTGCACACAGGCACACACACACACACCGCCTTGCTGGATGCAGACCAACCCTGGGTACTTTATAAGTGAGAAAGCCAGCAGCCGGGGGCCCCCCATAAAAGTCGTGGGGGGCCAGGCGCAGCCCCTGCCTGCAGAGTGGGGAGCTACACAGAGGCCAGGGCTCCCAGGTCGGCACCCAGGCACCTGCTCCACCCGGCACCCTGATACCAGGGCCCCCGCCTATGCTGGGCTTGGCGACGCAACGGGGAAGGAGGCGGGGGGGGCGGTCAGGGGTGAACAGGGTCGCTGGCTCTGGCCCCCGTGGGAGGGGCGAGTGAAGGATCAGGGGGGCAGCAGGCGAGGCAGCGGGAGCACCGACCCCTGGGTCACTCGGCCCCGGGTTCAGACCCGTCCCCTGGCGAGACCCTCGGGGAGCAGCCCGGCTCCCGAGGCCTGGCGTCCTCGCACGAAGCACCTCCCGGGTTAATTTTGCCCCCCAAGGGCCCAGGGTGGGCGTTTGGTGGGTGGGAGCCTTCAGCCCTGCAGTCCAGCTGGGCCGGGATGTCCACCAGGCGGGGGCGGCTGAAGAGCAACTGCGGCCCAGCCACCCTCGTCAACAGCCATTCCCTCGGCGCCAGACGGCTGGATTCCGAGAGCCACGGACAGCCCGTGCCCGCCCGCTGGGAGCTCAGACGGACGGACAGACGGACGGCCAGAGCCAGGAGCCCCGGCGGGAAGCCAGCTGCACCCCAGCCGAGCTCGAACCCCCTCAGGCAGGGCCCCGGCCCTGGAGCTCCCGGTGCCTCGGGCCACTCCTCCTGCCCTGCCTCCGGCGGGTCACCGGTCAGCGAGGACACACGCCCTGACTCACGTCCTCTGTCCTACACCCACGGTTCTCTCCCTGTCCCTGTCTCCGTCTCTGTCTCTCTGTCTGGGGGGGAGGGGGGTGCTGCGAGCACCGTTTTTCTGAACCCGAGGGAGTCGACCGCAGACATGACCCCCTTCACCCCCAACGCCCGAATGTCCAAAGGGCAAGGCCACCCTGTCCCCAATCTCAGCACCAGCGTGGACCCCGCACGGGGCCCCGCCTGCCCAGCGCACGCCCCGGGCCCCGAGAACACAGAGCCGGTCCCGGCCCCGGCCGACCCAGGCCACACACCGAGTTAGCTGTCCCGTCGCCCCGGGAACCCAGGGCAGCCGTGACGAGGGGGCTCCCTTCCCCGGAAGGACGACGGAATGCTCCCTGCACGCCCCCCGAGCGCCCAGAACGCGGCCGCTCCAAGTGAGAAGCTGCATCCTTGCTTTAACCTCATTCGAGTTCGTGTAAACTGAACACCCACCCGTGGATCCCACACACGCCCACTCCCCGTCGCCCAGGACCGGGCACCGGGGTGTCCACCAGGGACGACAGAGGCCGCCGGCCCCACCCACGCACGGCAGCGAGGACAGGGGACCTCACAGGGACAGAGGTCGGCTGAGTGCCGGGGCGGGGGAGGGGTGGCTAGTGCCCCGTGGTGCGGAAGGTGCAGAGGTCCCAGAAACAGCAGTGTGGTTGTCCCACGACGTCGTGGATGCGCTCGGGGTCCCGGACGCGCACCTGCAGTGGTTGAAGCGGTCGTAGCTACATTGTAGCTACGTTGTATGTTTTATCACAACAAAAACACAATCACAAACATGCGGGGCAGGGAGACACGGACCCACAGGGAGGAGGCACCGTGGTGACAGGGCAGAGTTGGGGGAGCCGTCCCCGGAGCCCACAAGGCAGTAGGGGGCCAGGGGACCCCCAGAAGCTGGGAGAGGCCGGGACGCCCTCGGCCACAGAGGCCCCCAAAAAAGGGCCAGTCCTGCGGACACGGCGACCTCGAACCTCAGGCCTCCAGGCGCCAGGAGACAAATACGAACCTGGACCCCGCGGGGGTGGGCGCACCCCCTGAGGAACCCTCGTCCCTGCCTGCTGGGTCCCCGGCCCCCGGCCGCCCCCAGGATGCGGCAGCCGCCAGCCGGCTCCGCTATTTTTTGCTCAGCACCGGTCCCGCATTCCCACTCAGCATTTATTTTAATTCCTCCTCAGCCTCCCATTTTTAGAGTTAATTACACAGCTCCCGACCACAACGGCAGCTGGCGAGGCGAGGCTTCCTTCAGGGGCTCAGAGCGGGGGGGGCGGCACAGCATCGGCCTGGCCCGGCCCCACTCCGCGGTCACTTGGGCCCCTGACCTCCCAGAACCGCTGCCCTCAGCTGCAGGTCGCCCCAGGCCAGCCCCCGGGAAACTGAGGCACACGGGCCCCGTTGGCCGTCGGGGACAGGGACACGGGGGTCCTCGGGGAGGGCTCCCACTGGGTGCCCCTGCACCAGGCACGGCGTCTGCCCCCTCAGCCCGGATGAGGGGCCGCAATCCAACTGGCGTGAGGACCCAGGCTCCCGGCCCAGCCGCCCACCCCCGGGCACTGCAAACCTACTGCTGTCACGGTCGCTCCGCGCACTCGGGCCCTGGGCCAGCACCCTGGTCGTCAAGGGTGACAGGACAGGGCCCTGAGAACCAGCACCTGAGCCTCAGCCATCGGGTCCCAGAGGCCCCCGGGGGGTGGGGGTCCCCGGCCCAGCTCCAGGGCCCACTATGGCCACTTCGTGGCCAACCTACTGACTGGGGACACGGCCAGGGCCCGCCCCACCCCGCCGAGGAGACACAGAGGTCCCACCCCACTGAGCGGGCAGCCTGCGGGCCCTGGCGGGCACCCCCCTACCCACTGTCTTCCACACTTGGCTCCGCCCCCTCTGCAGACAGTGCTGAAAAGGGACCCGGGACGGCCGCCCAGCCCCGAGCTCACGCCCCACATCCAACACACACGGGGGCACCAGGGCCACGCTCCGTCCCCACGAGACCTCAGGCACCTCCACCCCGAGACAGGTGCACAATGGGAAACTGAGGCACAGAGAGGCGAAGCCGCTTGCACGAGGTCCTGTGGGGCGGGGCAGGAAGGCGTGGACCCCACTGTGGGCTCACCCCGCTGGTGAGAGCCCCGGGCTGGCCCCCGGGACTGTGTCCGATCTGGCGCAACAGCCACCTGGGCCCTGTGTGCCTCAGTTTGCCCATCTGTGAAATGGGGAGAAGGGGTGGGGAGACGCTGCTTTACGAGGTGACAGCTGACAGTGGGGCTGTCTCCCTCAGGAGGTTGTGAAGTCCCCGTGCCCAGAGCTGCCCTGTGACATCACGTCCCGGAAGATGGGAGCCGGGGGCGGTCCTACAGCCCACCAGCGCCCTGAGATCTGCACTCGGGGCCACCCTTCCCAGGTGTCCGTCAGCGGGAGCTGAGGAGTGGCCACCCGGCACACGGCTGGACCCCAGCTGGACCCCGGCCCTCCATCCACACTCCCCCGGGACCCTCATTGCCCTCCTGACACCTCACTGGAGCCACCCAAGGGCTGGGTGGGGCGGGAGGCACAGGCCACCCGCAGACCCCCGGAGAGGGTCTGCCTGAGGCTCCCCACTCACAGCCAAACCACGAGAGAACGGGCAAGCCACTGGCCACCCGCTGACCCCACAGCCCCAGAGACAGACGGGGCACGGCAGTGTCCAGCCTTTGACAGAACAGGAATTCCAAGAACCTTCGTGTCTTTCTGAGACAGGCGGGGGGGCCCCCCCGGATCTGCTTCACTGCGACAAATCACGTGTCGTCGGGGTGCTGTGAGCCGCCCCCCACCCCCAGGGCCATGCTGCTGAGCCTGCCACTCACAGCCTCTGACTGGCAGCTGACCACGTCTGTGATCAATAACAAAACGGAAAAGTGAATTAACTTCTCATTTTATTGATGCCATGCTGATTCCAAAAAACACTGAAAACATCTTCACTACGGTTTAACAGGTGCCGCCTGCCGGAACCTGCCGGAACACGTGTTTCAAACTTGGGTCGATGAACAGCTGGCCTGGAGGTGACGCACTGACCCACGGGGACAGCAGCCGAGACCATCTCCTCCCCCTGAGTCCCCAACACCCTGGACAGTGACCCCCCGCCCGCCGCCACAGGGGCTGCACATCCAGTGATTGAGAGAACAAACTGAGGAGGAAGGACCGTCTTCAAAGCATCCTAGTGGACACGTCTTCAGTGGCCCTGTCCCCCTGCCCGCAGTGGGGGTGGCCTCAGGGGTGCCGGGGTCCCCACGAACAGCTGTGCCTGCTTGAGTGGCCACCCTCACTTCCAGAAGCTTCTCCCCCAGGAGCACGCAGGCAGGTGGAGTTTGGAGTCCGCCCACCAACACTCTTCCTGCCCGCAGGCCCCGCTCCCCCCCCACCCCCAGCAGCCCCGCAGGTCGGAGCCCCTCTCCTCCACTCCGCAGAGGGGGAGACGCCACTCGGGAGGGGGGTCTGGAAGCGGGACTTCCGGCCACACCAGGGCCAGAGCCGCTGCGGCTGCCCGCGGCACCGGGGAAGGACCCCGCCCAGGCTGCAGCTCACCCGCCGCCGCCCCAGGCAGGGGAGGCGCAGCCCAGCCAGGGATTTATCTGCGGGGCCGGCGCAGGGGACCCGATTGTGTCTGGACAATTGAACAGGACCACTCGCCCTTGGGGGGACACGGCGCGCTGGGAGCCTCGTCCTCCTCCTCCTCCTCCTCTTCCTCCTCCTCCTCGGCGCAGGGCCCTCTGGTCTCCCCGTGCCCACTGCGGGGAGGGGCGGGGCGAGGCGGGGAGGGGAGGGCAGGGCAGGGTCTCTCCCAGCAGCCCCGTCTTCC